AGCTGAAGGCAGAGTCACACAGCAGCCCCAGCACAGGATTTCTCAGCTTGCTGCTCATGGAGGTGGGGTGTGAGCTGATCAGCACACTGAGTCCCTGGAGTCACCAGCACTGCCAAAGGATGTCAGTGCACAGGTGGATGTCAGCATCATCCAGATTTGTTTTTTAAACAGCATGCCTTATAGAAACTTTAATTTTCCAACAGAATTTATCCTTACAATAGGCAGCCTTTCCAGCAGAACCACCTCCTCTGCTCCCAGATCCTGCATTTCAGAAAGCACAGCACAGCCAGGATCATGCCATGAGGAAACTCCAGCTCAGTGTCTGTTGAACAACATCTCAACAAGGCTGAAGGAAGTCTCAATGGAGAGAAACACCAGATGTGGGTGAAGGAAGGGAGACAGACCAGGTGACAGCTCAAAGACACAGAGCCTGATCAGGACTATGAGCAAAGGGACCAGTGTCTCTTTAGGCCCCAGGTACAGGGAGCAGTTTGAGAGCCAAGGAGCACCATTTGAGAACATCCACTGCAATAATCCCAGTCCTCAGAACTATGGAGGGTTCCCTGAAAACCTCTAGTTTGCTGGGGAGGAGGTTGGGATTTTATTTTGTGCTTGTTTGCCTCTTGTTTTTGTCCTGGTAGATAACGCTCATTTCCAGCAACTGTTGACCAAAGTGGAAAAGGAGGATTTAACAATAAAGTGCAAGAGTCCATCACAAGTTATGGCAACCCATGTGCTCTTATGAAACAATAACACACCAACATAAAATAAATCAGTGCCTTTTAATTTAACAATGTAAATTACCCTCCCACCTGCTGTGACTCTCCATAAGGAGAAAAAGCTGGCAGTGTATTTACCAAGCTGTCTATCCCAGTCCCATTCTGCACTGGCCTCCTGCCCTGGGGTTAGACTGTAGGACTCTGTCATCTCTTGCACTCGTATGACCTAAGAAAGGGAATGTGGCCTTTTTCCCACAAGCCCAGAGTGAGAACATCATAAAAGCTGAACTTTAGCCCCCTTTTTGGGCAGGCAGCACAATAGCAAGGAGGATGCTGTTACTCCCCAGAGGCTCTGCTGCTGAAAAACATCACCAAGCTCAAGTAAAAGGTCAGTAGTTAGGATTGCATCTCTTGTTTTCTTCAGTTTTCCTCCTCCGTCAAAGGCAGTTCAACATTCTTTGCACACCCCCCTCCCTCCTTCTGAGAAATGCAGGAAGGAAGTGCTTGCAAAATAGTTTAATTTAAAAGAAGGCACAATCACACACAGCAAACCCTGCTGCAGCCTCTGAGCAGGACGTGTCCGCTGCTCCCCGTTCCCAGTGCAGCACAAACGAGTCCCTCCCTGCCCACACACCCGGGCAGGGCTGTGCTCCAGCACCTGGGCTGGAGAGCTGCAGGCAGCCCCTGCTCCCCCAGGGCACGCAGCACATCTGCCCAGGAGCCAGGGCTGTGCAGCAGGACGGGAAGGATGCAGGGAGCCCTGCAGCCCGCCAGGCACTGCACCAGAGCAGCAGCACCGCAGTCCTGGGCTGCAGGACAGTGTCACCTCCCGTCTCCCTCATCACTAGTGCTTGTTTGATTTCACTGGATGTTCTTCCACCAAGGCTTGTTACCTGAACCTTGCTAGGGTTTGGGAAGGTATTTGGGACAGTTGGATTTAACTTGACCCTTTTCTTCACTAGATTTATGTGGAAGAACCAGAGTGGGTGGAAGCAGCTGTTATACTCCATGCCTTTTTGCAAAAAGGAATGTAGAGACCAGCAGGCAATTCCTGGAAAACTCTTTCATTATCCATCGGTTTCTGCTGTATGACCACATATCCAATCTAAACATGCTTCTTCCCAGGTACACGGTGTTTTTGTATCCCTGAGCAAACAGCACTTACAATCACAAGCTTATTTCTTTGTCTTTTCCAAGACTCTGGCAGTCCCAAGACTTCCCTTGAGCCATGAACTACAACAGCCACATGTCAGGACAGGCTGGCAGTCAGGACAGGCTGCCTGCTCTCCCTTCTTTGAGAATTCCCAGTCCTTCCAGCCCAGTGTCCTGACACAACCTCCTCAGGGCCTGTTCCAGGGTACCACATTCCCCTCATTGCTCGTGGGTTCATCTCCAGCTGGCATGCTTGGACTTCATGGGACACTGCCAACAAATCACAGTCCTGTCTCTTCTTTAACCCCTTGCTGTCACAGGGCATCATTAGGTTAATGAAATAACCATTAACCCATTTCATTAGGTTAATGAAATAATGATGAGATCAATGCATGAAGGACCTGAGCAGAATCACACCCATGACCACTCGAGTGGTGCCTCCTTCCAAACAGGATGTCCAGGACAAGCAAACACACAATCAGTTATTTTCTAGAAGGAAATTTTAAAATGCTGCATGCTATTAATGTGAGCACTTTGCTGTGTGCAGTCACACAGCTTCACAAAGGGGAAGATTAATGCTCTCCCAGACAGGGAAATGAGAGTCCCAAATGCCACCAGCAGCCTGGGGACTGGGGTCTGCAGCAGGACCTGAAACCAGGTTGCTGAGTTTGGTTTTTTTTTACTTTAAAGTTGACAGCTTCAACTTTCAGCATCTACACCCAGCACTGCGCATGGGGAAACCTGCTGTTCTCTAGCTCTAGGCCAGATGGGTCAATTTTTTGGGTTAATGTTTACATAACCATGCAGCCAGGGCTGCTGTTTATTATCCATCCCATCCCCAGGAACTTCTTACCTTCTTTTCTTTTTCACTTACTGTTGCTTATGTGCATTTCTGATAGATTTAAAAATAAGTGTTAGCACTGCACATTTAAAATATGCAGTGCTAACCCTTTAAAATAAGGGTTCCATAATCCTACATTCTTTATAGACCTTAAATAAAAAATTATTTCTGTCCCTGCAGAGTATTGTAAAAGCACTTAAGGAGATTACTGCCCACCCCATGCCCGCTGCAAGCCCAGACAAAGGACAATAAAAATGTGAAACAGATGAATGAAAGAACCCCAGAAATGTACATTTGGCTGGGAAGAGGAGGTGCCCCTGCACATAGTCAGCACAGAGCCTGACCACTCCTACAGTGAAAAAAAATTTTCTAATATCTAATCTGAACCTTCCCTGTTTCAACTAAGGCCGTTTCCTTTTGGCTTGTCCCCTGGCACAGGGCAAAAGAGACCAAACCACAACCTCACTACAACCCCCCTTCAGGTACTTTTAGGGAGAAATTCCCAGCTCAAGTTTGTGAGGATACCAAAGCCATACTGAAAAATATAAACCCAAATACCTGGTTTAATGAATGGTTAAAAACAGGTTACAGAGCAGATAGATCTGGAAATATGACCCAAATATTGTAATGCAGCACTTAAACAAAAGCAGTGATACAGGGAAGATCCCAGTTCAGTTCTGAGCCTCTTCTTGGAGAGAATCCTATTCAGCAAAGGTGATCCAGTCAAAGGTGAGGCCCCCACCTGACTTAAGGAAGGTTCCTCCTTCCTTAAGGCACCACAGATGGCTTTGCCTCAGCACTGCCCTGAAGAGCTGACAGAAAGCTCTGCCTCATCCCAGCACCCACAGGGACCCACACATCAGCCAGGGTGCTCTGCACCCCCAAGCATCCCCAGCACCTCCTTGGCCCCACACCTGCCAGCACAGCAGCTCCTCAGCAAACATCACCCTTTGCCTCCCTTCATCCCTTTCTAATGTGCTGAGGTGCTTCTTTGAAGGGGAACTTTGATTATTAAGATACTTAGTGATGAAAGGAAGGGCAGCCAGTGTGCAGTGCCTGCTGCCAGGCCCAGCCTCAGAGGAGCTGGCTGGTGCTGGGCTGCAGGGCTGTGTCCCAGGCTTGTCCCCAGGCTGTGTCCCAGTCCATGTCCCCAGTCTGTGTCCCCAGGCTGTGTCCCAGGCTCTGCCCCCAGGCTGTGCCCCGCGGCTCTGCCCCCAGGCTCTGCCCCCAGGCTCTGCCCCCAGGCTCTGCCCCCAGGCTCTGCCCCCAGGCTCTGCCCCCAGGCTCTGCCCCCAGGCTCTGCCCCCAGGCTCTGCCCCCAGGCTCTGCCCCCAGGCTCTGCCCCCAGGCTCTGCCCCCAGGCTCTGCCCCCAGGCTCTGCCCCCAGGCTCTGCCCCCAGGCTCTGCCCCCAGGCTCTGCCCCCAGGCTCTGCCCCCAGGCTCTGCCCCCAGGCTCTGCCCCCAGGCTGTGTCCCCAGGCTGTGTCCCCAGGCTCTGCCCCCAGGCTCTGGTCCCAAGCTGTGTCCCCAGGCTATCTCCCATGCTGTGTCCCCAGGCTCTGCTCCCAAGCTGTGTCCCCAGGCTCTGCCCCCAGGCTCTGCTCCCAAGCTGTGTCCCCAGGCTGTCTCCCAGGCTGTGTCCCCAGGCTCTGCTCCCGGTGTTTGTCCCAGCTGGGTGTTTTCCCCCTGCACTGGCGATTGTTTGGCCGGCTGGTGATGGATGGAGGAGAGGGCTGTGTCTGGAGCACTCCCGAGCCCTCAGGAAGCTCAGGGGGCCTTTGCCAGTACTTCCTTCCTGCATGTAAGGGGAGGACAGAATGGGAAAAACCTTGGCTGTCTCTCACCCTGAGAAAAGGTCTCCCCTTCCAGCTGGATTACAGTAACAGTATTTTAATCTTTCACAAGATTATAATATCCTTCCTCTCTAAGTATAGCTCCAGTGGCAACTTAGAGAATGAAATGAACCAACAATGTAAAACTCAATAGGTGGTGCTGGAAGCTGAACAAATGGAGGTCCAGACTGGAAGATCCCTATCCTCAGTCAGGATATAAATCACCAGCAATCACACCTGTCTAACCCAGGACTTGACTCCAACAGCAACCAGGACTAAGCACTTCAACAGGAGGTGTAAAATGTACCTAAGTGATACACTGAAAATTAGTCCCTCTGGACAGATTCATTCCTGTTTTAGAGAGTGGATCTAAACTCAAACCACTACAGTTATTACACCTACAAAAAAGAAAGCTGCAATGAGCAATCTATGAATATTCTGACCAGACATTTCTCACCAGCACCCAGGATATGTTATAGAGACTTGAATGTCTTTTTCCCCAAACCCAGCCTCTAGGTCCTTCTGTGGATGATTCATGAATCTCCATGACATCCTGATGTGTCATCATCACCTGTTCACAGTAATAAAAGTACATGCTGAGTATTAGAGAGTAGGTATTTCATACTACCACAGGAATTTTTCTAAAATTTTCCCTTTTTGAGCCCCAGATTCAAACTCATGGACAATGGTGAGGGCTTTAGTGTAGGCAGATGTTCAAAACCAAAATTGCTCTGCCCCAGTCATGTGGCCTGAGACAGCCAGAGCAGGGCACATGGGTGGTGGCTCTGAGGACCCCTCTCCCTGCAGGCCCAGCAAGGGGAGATCCCAGCAATCCCCTCATTTGTCTGGGCAAGTTTGCCCAAGCGAGTCTGTAAAAGCAAGAAAGAAATTCTCAGGACTCAACAACAAAAGAAAACTCCCCCAACCTGTGAGCAGACAGCTCTCCTAACAGCCTCTATTTCTGACAAAGGCCTCAGACAAAAAGACCTCACCCACGAACAAAGAGTGGGGAACAATGGGAACTGTCAAAAAATAGCCCTCACGTCAGAGCTAAGAATGCCCCTTGACACTTCCAAAAAAGCCCAGGCTGAGCAGAGCCTGGGAGGCCGCAGGCACAGCCCCTGGCATCCACCTCTCCCAGCACAAACTGCCAGCAGCACCCGGCGAGGCTGAGCTCCCACAGCCAAAGGTGGGGATGAAAGAAGAGAGCAAATTTATGGCAGGTCTGAGCCAGAAGTAACAAACTCCTGTCTATCCAATCTCTCCAGCAGGGACCCTGACCCTTGGACCTGATGGGACATACCTGACAATGGTGTGTGCACATCTTCCCTTACTGCAAAGGGTAACCAATTACCAATGCAATTAATGAGAAAACTAAGTAATGGCAAATAGCAGAATGAGTTGTCTAACACAGTAATAAAACCCCTGTGCTCTTCTGAACTGGTGAGAACTTCCAGAAAAAAAATTGCTAGAAAAGTTTTCAACCTGGACTAGAATTCTAAGAATGCTGGTACCCAGATATGGACAGGAAACCTCAAAGATCCAATAATCTTTGTGGCATGCAATTTGGCATTGATTCACATGTTTTGCTTTATTTGTGACTCAGCATTCTTCTCCAATAGCAGTAAGAAAATAAATGGAAAGCAAATCATGCTGAATGAAAACTCACCCGTGGGCTGATCACTTGAGTAACTGTCCTGATTCATCCTCCCAAAGGCAGCACCAGGTCAGGATGCTGAGGTTGGAGCACTAAACTCAGAGATGCAGGCCAAGCTCTTGTTTCTGGAAAGAGAATGTAGAGTTACTGTCAAACTGTAGGAGCTTCACCCTGTGTGAGAAAGAGAGTATCTTGTGTGTGGTCTGTTGTCCTTGAATTTAGCAGGAGAGGGGAGAACCTACATGCATGTGCAGCTTGGTGTGGGAGCCATAGGAGCCTGAAGATCAGAGAATGCATTGGGAAACTGAATGGAGTCAACCAAGAAGCCCTGGAAAGTGGCATCTGAGAGCCCATGGAAGGTAAAACAACATGTTAAAAACACAGCTGGGTTCCTGGAATAAGCTGAGTTCCAGATTTGAACTGCACAAACAGGAGTCCCTAATGTCTTCACTTGAGTAGCCAAACAAAACTCCTGCACAGGATGAAGAGTTGGACTCGATGATCCTGAGGTCCTTTCCAACTCAGCAGATCCTATGATTCCTTTCAAACCCCAGACCTACCTAACCCCAATCCAGACTAACAGGCCACGTAAAAATGTGTTTTTGCCACAGCTACACAGCTCCTCCTCTTTGTTTGCTTGCCCTTCCACTCATCATCATATCTTGACTGTGGTAGAGTTGGGAACAGAACCCCTGTCTCCCAAATCCCAGTCCAGTGCCTTAACCACCACATCCTTCCTGCTGAATCACACTGCAGGATTGTTTACCAGGAAGGAAATTCCCCCTCGAGAGCACTCACTCTGAGTGTGCTGGTGGAACACAAATGCTTAGAAAAACACAAACAGAGAGGCAATAACAACAAGTGATTGAAGTCCCTGTGCTGGCTGGAGGCACAGCAGCACCTTGGGTTTGTTGTGGAGCAGTGGAAGCCAGGCCCCTGGGAGCAGGACATAACACAGACCAAGCAGTGCATCCAGATGCCTCCCAGGAACAGCCTCCTGCTCTCCACAGATCATCTGTGACTCTGGAAGTCTCTTCCCCACATCTAGCATAAGGTGTATGCTGCTCAGGGCCATTCAAAAGGTTTGGATTCTCAGCAGGCAGTGGGAGTCACCTTTGGGAGGAAACCTGCCAAGTGCAAGCAGCTGTGGATATGATCCAGAGGGTCAGAATTAACCTCAACACGTTGTGCAAGCAAAGGGCCCCGCTTTCTTTGAGGTCTTTAGCTCAAAAAAAAAAAAAAAACCCAAAAAAAAACCAAACCCAAAAAAAACAACAACAAAAAAACCAAACCCAGGGCTGTAATTCATCCATGATCTGTCAAAAAACGCAAACCCACTGAAATGGCAGATTCATGGTCAAGGACTCTGAAGAATTTGGCTCTGCTCAGCAGTTGGGCAAAGGGGAAGAATTTCCCCATTCACAAGCAGTGGCTTTCCAGGTTGTGTCCCACGGGACCCCACCACAGTAACCAACAAACACAGGCTTGGGCAGATGGCAGAGCTTGGACTGGATCTCAGGACACTCTCTTCAAAAATCACTGTATGGGAATCCCAGCAAGACCTGAGGACTCCTGGGGGACAGGGAACCAAAGCCTCCCTCTTAGCAGCATCCTGGGGTCACACCCAGATCTAGAGCAGCTCTAACAAGCCCCAAGATGGGGCTTCTACTACAGTAAAAGTTTCTCACCAGAAGACACTTCGAGACACTTTAATTCCTTTGAACAGTAAAAAAAAGTCACAATTTCTCCTTGGGGCTTCTTTTGACCTTGACATGACCTGAAATCCCTCAAGCCTTGCTTTTTCATATCCTGTGAGAGCAATTCAGGAATTAACATGAAATGTAATTCCATTGTTCTCCATTCAAAAGGCTATTCTCTCATTCCTTGCCTGCTATTTTTGGGGTCAAGATCCAGTTTGTAGCTTTTTCCATTAGGTCTTCTCCCTGTCCAGAGGGAGAAGATAACTGCATGTGCTGTCCTGCAGGATGCTGTGATCAGTGTGGAGGGGTGGGTGATGACCACAAGAAGACAATGGCTGATATGAGTGTCTCCTGCTTGGTTCAAACAATTCCATGTATGGAAGCCCAGCATGGAGCAGCCAAAGGAAAAGGCTTCTGCAAAGAGCTGCCAGGTTGCTTCTCCAAGCACTGCTGGCTTTTCTCCAGAGCAGGTGTGGTCACTGTCGAGCCTTGATTGTGAGCTCAAGCTCATGGCTGGTGCCATGCGGGAATGCTTTGGTTTGTATTCCAGCCAGAAGAGCTAAGGGTGCACACAGACAGCCTGACACCGTGCTGAGGCAGGAGGATGGATGGATGGATGGATGGATGGATGGATGGATGGATGGATGATGGATGGATGGATGGATGGATGGAGGGATGGATGGATGGATGGATGGACGGACAGTCTGATACCTGCCCTGCCTGTAGCTCACACCTGCCCCAGGGGCAAATCAACCCCCAGGTGGATGGGGATGGTGTGAACAGAGCTCCCATTCTGCTTTCTCAGTAACAGCTGCGGCCACAGCCACTGCCAGACAGGGAACTGTGGGCCACTGGTTTCCTTCTGAATGATTTCAGTTGAAGCAGGGCCATTGCTGGGCTGGAGTGAACAAGGTGCTCCTGACCCGTGCTGGGAAAAGCAGAAAGTCTCCCTCCTGACAGTCTGTTAACTCTCCATGGGATCAGCTCTGGGTTGGTATCTCAAGCTCTGCCTGAGCTGGTGCTTCCCTTAATGCTTAGAAATGTGGTGAAGGGACCGTATAAAAAATCTTATCTCTTCACAGAAAATGTCCGCAAAACAAAAAAGGAGGTTTCTATTCTGCCTGGGTATGGAAAAGATTTGAAAATGTGAAGTGAGAGTAACTGAGTAACTTAAATCTTTAGAAACAAGAAAACAAACACTGCAAAGCAGTACTTATTTGTAGGCGTCTTCATACAGGGATTTTGAAGACTATTTCACATTTTTACAACCTTCCTTTTATTGCCTTGGTGTCACAGAACATACAGGCACACACATCTAAAAAAGGTATCACAGAATCACAGAATGTCCTGAGCTGGAAGGGATCCACCAGGATCACCCAGCCCAGCCCCTGTCCCTGCCCAGACCCCCCAGCAACCCCACCCTGGGCATCCCTGGCAGCGCTGGCCAAAGGCTCCTGGAGCTCTGGCAGCCTCGGGGCTGTGCCCATTCCCTGGGGAGCCTGGGCAGTGCCAGCACCCTCTGGGGGAAGAGCCTTGCCCTGAGCTCAGCCTGAGCTGCCCTGTCCCAGCCCCAGACGTGCCCTGGCTCCTGTCCCTGTCCCAGAGCAGAGATTAGAGCTGCCCTGTGGGAGGAAGCTGCACATTGCTCTGAAGTTTACAGTGTCATGGACCCTTCCCCAGAATAAACATGAGTTAGGAGGTGGGTGAAGGAGCTGTTGTCCTAGGAGTGCCTGCAAAAGCATCCTCTGAAGATCATCGATGCCTCTTCATTGGCTTTTACAGACTTTGGATTCTGTACTCAAACCCAGTTTAGCTTCAATTTAGCTCCCATCAGCTACAAACCCAGCATTCATTCTTCACAAACTTCATACAAGCTTCATTCTTCACAATGTCCCAGCTAAGCTACACCATTCAAAATCTCTTAAATTCTGGTGTTTCAGGCTGCAGTGTGTCACAAATGACCTGCCTGCCAAGCCCTTTCACGAGTTGTGTCTGTAGAATACGTTCTTTCTGAGTGGGCAGAAGTGATGAAGAGGCTGCAGCCCCTCTGCACCTCAGGCTGAAATGCAAATCGCAGTTCCACCTAATTTTACAGACTCCCATCATCACAAAAATCTTTAACTACTCAGAAATAGAAACCTCACTTTGCTGTGATAAGGATATGGTAAAAACCACTGACACAAGCAAAAAATTAAAAAAAGAAAATTCAAACCAGGCAGTGTTCAGCCAGTGCCTGCCATGACTCCAGGCCTGTGTGAAGACCCCCAGGCCACGTTCCCTCCCCTCCAGGGCCCTGAAACCAGCAGGGCTCCACAAGCTCCCATCTGGACAGGGTTGCTCAGGACCACCAGAACCACTAGTACTGCAGAAGCAAAGGGGCCAGGACATGACCCTGCCTCCTGTACAAATCCATTTGATTGGAGCTTATTCTAAGGAGGTCACTTCACTTGAATGGAATTTTTATTAAATTATTATTGACTTTCGATAATTTATGGGAGTAATTTAATAATTTCCCACCATTCATGCCATAATAAGATTCATTGGAAGCACTGATGGTTCAAAGCAGAACACTCATGGCAGAAGCCAGCAGAGCCACGGTGCCCCAGAGAACACCCTCTGCCTCATTAGCTCGGACATTACAACTGGAAAGCAGCTGACAAAACATCAACAGATGTCTGTCAGAGTCTGTTGGATTTTCAAGGCTGTCCCCTCAGCATGGTGAAGCCCGCCAGTTTGACAGGAATGTATTTTTTATGGAATTCCTGTCCAAGTTCCTAATACCAAAAAGCAAATTGTTGTGATCCCAGGGCATAAGTACAACCTGCACCCCTGGAGGAAGCCCTGGATACCAAAGGATGTATCTCCCTGCATGCCTGCAGAGTTCCACGACCCAGCTCTCCCTGCTCGTTTCATTTTTCTTACTCATCAGTCACCTCCAGCCACTTGGAAAGCGAACCCTGGACACAACCAGCACACGCCAGTGGCTCCGGGCAGCGCTGCCAGACGGTGCTGCCGCTGGGGTGGCCCTGGCGGTGCCGCAGCCCCGGAGGCTGGGCGGGCTCGGGCTCAGGTGCGCTCCCGGTGCGCTCCCCGGTGCATTCCCCGTGAGCTCCCGGTGCATTCCCCGGTGCGCTCCCCGTGCGCTCCCCGGGGCATTCCCCGGTGCATTCCCCGTGCGCTCCCCGTGCGCTCCCGGTGCGCTCCCCGTGCGCTCCCGGTGCATTCCCCGTGCGCTCCCCGGTGCGCTCCCCGTGCGCTCCCGGTGCGCTCCCGGTGCATTCCCCGGTCCGCTCCCCGGTGCATTCCCCGTGCGCTCCCCGTGTGCATTCCCCGTGAGCTCCCGGTGCATTCCCCGGTGCGCTCCCCGTGCGCTCCCCGGGGCATTCCCCGGTGCATTCCCCGTGCGCTCCCCGTGCGCTCCCGGT